TCTGAAGCCACCTCATATCTGAGCCAAAACCTGCCTCTGCTGCTTACGAGCCTCAGGCTAGCTGCTTGCACCTGATAGCACCTACGTCACAGCGTCAGGACACGTGTATGAAAGGTGTGGAAGAGTTTGGCATATGTGGATGTTACCGTTAATACTTTAGAACATACACTGAGCTTTCTTGGAGTCAGGATTTGAAGTAGGGACCTACTACTTCTAAGTAGGAAAAGTCTATTTACTTATATTTTAATTAAAACAATTTCACCTTCATCTGCTTTTTATTTCTTCTTTCTTTTAGTGACTCTTTCCTACTTTGGTCCTTTACCTCAAAACAAAACAACACCCTAGCCTTCCTGCCTGTATTATTATTTCCTTGAAGGCTCTGGCACCAACTGTTCTTTGACCCTTCTCCAGCTTTGCAGATTGACTTTTCCAAACTTTAATCAAATTAAAATCACTTTATGTGTCACATTTCTCATTTGCCCTCTTGCATTGATTGATGCGTACCCTCTGAAGGGAAGCTCTGTACTGTGTGGGGTCTCAGTGGGCCCTAAATCAGAGAGGTAACCGTGTGTTAATACTGTTTTTGTGTGAAAATATTTGTTCTAGTCAATTACACAAATAAAAACACAGTTCCATTGGTGTATGATTTTCTCTGATCTTTTAAGAAATGAGAAATTGAACAAATCTAAAATTGATCTAAAATCTAGAATCTAGAAAATGAACAAATCTAATTTGGGGGTAACCAAGTCTACATGTTGCAAGTTCCTCATAGCTTATTAAAGAATACTGAAAATTTGTCATATTATGTGAACTTTTTTAAGGAAAAGTGAAAATTTTCAGAAGTAGTTAAATGACTTTGTACTCTATTCTGTGGAGCCATTGCTCCCTCACATTCATTTGCAAAGTTAATTATGCTATTTGAAAGAAAACAAAAAAACATTTTTAGTTTTAAAAATAACCCAGCTGTTTCAGATATTTGCCAACTGCATATGTTAAGGAAATAGTATGCTTAAAACTTTTATGATGGCTATATGAAGTGTAAAATTCATGTATGTTTGCTTCAGGTGAGTTTTGTCATTCTATGTATGCTTTAAAATGTTACTTGGAAAAAAAATGTTACTTGGATAATTGCATTTAATTGAACGATAAACTCTAATCATGTCAGAAATACTGGCCAAGGCGCCTGAGTGGCTTACGTTGGTTAAGTGTCTGCCTTTGGCTCGGGTCATGCTCCTGGGGTCCTGGGATCCAGCCCCACGTTGTCGGGCTCCCTGCTTAGTGAGGAGCCTGCTTCTCCCTCCCTCTGCTGCTTCTCCAGCTTGTACCCTCTCTCTCTCTCTTTCCCTCTGTCAAGTAAGTAAAATAAAATCTTAAAAAAATACTGGTCAATTAATTATGCCACTGTAAACACCCACGTCTGCTGGGAAGTTAACTAACTGTAGCAACTGTGTGAGCCGTTGGTGAATTTTGCCATCTGCACCCAGACTCCTACACACCGTGTTGCATCTAGTACTGGTTGGGCTGGGATAGCATAGTACCCACTGATCCTCATTATGTTTGGATTTCATGTTTGCAAATCCACCTACTCAGTGAGTTTATCTGTGACCCCAGATCAACACAGTGCTTCCGTGGTCCTTCATGCCCCGCTGGGTGAGGGGGAGTGTCAGGTACCAGCCCCTCATTTCTAGCTGAGTTCGAATTTCTGTCTGTTTGAGGTCTTACTCTGTACCTCTGTCCTTGTGGTCCATTTAGTGCCACGTTTTTTGCATCTTCGTGTCTTTTGTTGGTGATTTGGCTATTTGAAATGTACCCAAGGGTAGTGCAGCAGTACTGACTAGTATCTTTAAGCGTGGGATATTGTGATGTGCCTTATGGAGAATATACTGTCAGATAAGCCTCATTCAAGGCACGAGTCATGGTGCTGTTGATTTAGAGTTCAGTGTTCATCGGTCAACAATATATAGTAAGTATAGTGTCTTTAAAGAGAAACACAGATAAATCATGGTTGTGTATTGATCAGTTAATGGAATTAGGTGGCCAGAGCCTTACAGGAAGCTAAGGAGCAGTGGTTCCACGTTCTCTAGTTCAGTGTTTCTCGCAGCCTTATAGAACATAACTGCTGTGGGTAATGAGAATCAGTGGTATTTCTGATCAAGAAAAGGGGTCTGAGGTCTGTCTGGTGTTACTTTTTAAACATTTTGTTCTCATTTGCAGATTCTGTCAGGGTACAAATACCCTCAATCTGTTGCTCTCACAATGTGGCCTGATAGCATCTGGGGCCAGGTCGGGTAGTAAAGACATCATTCTGGGGTAGGAAAAGTGATTTGTAGAAATTCATGTTTTCCAAAGAGCCAAGTACAGTTGACCTTGAACAACCCAGGTTTGAATTGCATGGGTTCACTTGCAGACTGTTTTTTTCTTTAGGCTGTCATGTATTTTCGGTTACGATCTTCCTAACATTTTCTTTTCGTTAGCTTACTTTAAGAATACATTATGTAATACATAAAATATACAAATAATGATATACAAAATATCATTAATCAACTGTTTACATTATTGATAAAGCTTCTGGTCAAACAGTTTAGTTTTGGGGAAGTCAAAAATTATATGTGGATTTTTTTAAAAGATTTTATTTATTTGAGAGAGTACACAAGCAGAGGAAGAGGGAGAAGCAGACTCCCCCGCTGAGCAGGGAGCCCAGCGTGGGGCCCGATCCTAGGACCCTGGGATCATGACCTGAGCCAAAGGCAGACGCCTAACAACTGAGCCACCCAGGTGCCCCCATATGTGGATTTTTGACTACATGATGTAGAGGGTGTTGGTGCCCCAAACTGTGTTCTTCAGGGGTCAGCTGCATGAGATTGTATGTTAGAATCTTAATAAAAAAGGTTGTCTGGTGCCTGGGTGGCTCAGTTGGTTAAGCAACTTCCTTCAGCTCAGGTTATGATCCTGGAGTCCCCGGATGGAGTCCCGCATTGGACTCCCAGCTCCACGGGGAGTCTGCTTCTCCTTCTGACCTCCCCTCTCTTGCTCTCTCTCTCGCTCTCTCAAATAAATAAATAAAATCTTAAAAAAAGAGGGGGGATAGGTTGTCCCAGAAGATGTTTTCAGTATCTATCACTGTTACTAAGAATTTGATTAAAATAGTATTTTTAATGGATAGATTAAATTATCATTTAAAATCCATAATCTGGAAGACAGTATATTTTTTCTGTAAAAACTATGTTACTTTAAATATTTCTTTAATGTTTGGCCTTTTTAAAAGATTTTATGTATTTACTTTTCAAAGAGAGAGGGAGAGAGAGCACAAGCAGGGGAGTGGCAGACAGAGGGAGAAGCAGGCTCCGCACTGAGCAAGGAGCCTGATGTGGGACTCAATCCCAGGACCCTGAGATCATGACCTGAGTCGAAGGCAGACGCTTAAGGGACTGAGCCACCCAGCCATCTGCCTTCTCATTTTTTTTATTTAAAAATTGCATATTTTAAAACATTGTATGAAGTCTTAAGTGTGGGAAGTGTATGCAGGCACAGCGAAGTCCTGTTGGCACAAAGGAAAATGCCATATCAGAAAACTAAGAAGTACTACATATAGCCAAAAGCACAGAATATGTGTTAAGTGCTGGATTTTGGAGGGTACTTTGTGTATGCAATGCTGAACAATTTCAGATACACAGCAGTAGAAAATACAGTGAACACCCATGCACTTAGCACCCAATTTCATTATTTATCAACATTTTCCTACTCTTGTCTCCTCTGTTTCCGTTTTCCCCTACTCATTTTTTTTTATAAAAGTTAAGTTCAGAAACTCATTATTTCACCCATAAGTACCTGCTGAAAAGTTTTAAACTGTGCACAATGGAGGCTATGGCAGGGTTTTAAAGATTTTTTATTATTATTTTAGAGAGAGGGAGTATGAATGAGGGGGAGGAGCAGAGAGGGAAGAAGAAGGAGAGCCTCTAAAGCAGTCCCTGCACTGAGTTCAGAGCCCGATGCAGGGCCCAGTCTCATGATTCCGACATGACCCAAGCTGAAACCAATGGTCGCACACTTAAGTGACTGAGCCACCCAGGTGCCCCAAGACCACCCAAGACCAGGGTTTAAAGAAGGGATTGGAATGGAGGTTTGCAGCTCATAAGGGGAGCACATATTGTAGGGAGGATCAGGGTCGGGGCCAAGTAGGCAAGAAAGTGTCTTCATTGCAGCACGATTTGGAGCTATGCATATTTATTAAACTGAATTAAGTTTCTGGCCTCTTGCTGCATGCTTGGTGTGTGTTCATCTCATGGGCCATCTGTAGGTGTACATAGTTCATATCACTGCTTCTCCAGAAAAGTAAGCTCCCCCCCACACCACCATTTTCCATTTTCTAACAGCATGCTTAGAAATTTGTTAGGATTTTTTTTTTCCAGTCCTGTTTTTATTTGTTTGGGCAATAAACAAATGAAATTTTAATGGTAAATTGACTGCTCTGGGCAGTTAGACCGTGCTAATGGGCTGACTTGTAATGATGTAGGGTTTTTCATTGTTCAGTTATCCACTGTGTAGTACATCATCAGTTTTTGATGTAGTGTTCAGTGATTCATTAATTGCATATAACACCCAGTGCTCATTGCAGTATGCGCTCTCCTTAAAACCCATCACCCAGCTACCCCATCCCTCTCCTCTCTCCCCTCTGAAACCTTTAGCTGTTTCCCAGAGCCCATAGTTTCTCATAATTCCTCTCCCTTTCTGATTTCTGCCCCTTCAGTTTTCCCTTCCTTCCCCAGTGGTCCTCCGTGCTATTCCTTATGTTCCACATATGACTAAAACCATATTATAATTGTCTTTCTCTGCTTGACTTATTTCATTAGAATGTTTTTAAATGACACTTTATATTTAATGTTTCAAATTAGTCTGTTTTGGGGCCAGTGAAATAAATTGGAGCATTCAGAAAGTAAGAATTACAAGTGATTGGGGGACCACATTGTAAATTTGACCTTTGTTTCTGCTTTCCTATCCAGGGCCTGCTGTCTTTTCTGAGTGCCCCCCTCATAGGCGCTCTGTCTGATGTGTGGGGGAGGAAACCCTTTCTCCTCGGCACCGTGTTCTTCACCTGCTTCCCAATTCCACTGATGAGGATCAGCCCTTGGTGAGTGGCTTTGTTTTGGGTCACATGTGAATAATACGTCTGCAAAGCATTTCTTAACCATTTCAAAGCAGTTGATACCTGTATTTATATTTGATTTCTTTGGTAATACTGAAAGCCAATTTGGGCTCTAAGATGTTTAAAGATGTCTCCAAGGGGGGCGCCTGGGTGGCTCAGTGGGTTAAAGCTTTGCCTTTGGTTTGGATCATGATCCCAGGGTCCTGGGATCAAGCCCTGCATCGGGCTCTCTGCTCAGCAGGGAGTCTGCTTCTACCTCTCTCTGCCAGCCTCTCTGCCTATTTGTGATCTCTCTCTGTCAAATAAAATAAAGATCTTAAAAAAAAAAAAAAAAAAAGATGTCTCTAAAAGCAGCTGTTGTTGCCCAAGTCAGTTAAAGGATTGGGTCCTGGGAGGGGCTGACAGTCCCTGTACTCACCCCTTTGGCTCAGCTGACTGTAAATGTGTTGTCATCTCACTGCTCTCTAGGGCACCGATGAAAAAAGTTTACATCAATAGACACAAGTCACTTTTGAGTACACGGTAGTGAGACCAAGAGACTGTTCTAAATCATAATATGAATTTGATCTTATTTTTTCTTGATAAATAGGGAGAGAATACCTAACATATAACTAAGTACCAGAGATGGTTTGGAATTTGCACCTGAGCTGTACCTTAGTTGTTTTTCTTGGTTCCAGAAGATGGTATTTGGCCAGAATTTCTGTTGCCAAGATGCTCGTCCTAAGGTGTGAAGAACACACCTTAAAATGAAAGGTTTTGTGTGTGTGTGCATGTGTGTTTTAATGCATTATTATTTCTTTTTTGGATCATGTGAAAATGCCCTTGTTTGATCATATGATAATTTTATGTCAGTATTTGTTAAATTATAAATATGTTGGTTTAGTGGGTCCTTTTATTTTCTGCGGGATGATGAATTTTTATTAAATAATTATTGAGTCTTTCCAAGTACAAGTCATGCTTTTCCATGGTTTTCCAATAAATGAGGGCTTTTTTAATGTCCTCTCAATATCTTAAAATATTTTTTCTTTAGATTTTCAAATGATTTTGCCTCTTCCCTTCCCATTTTCATACTGTTGCTTTTGCTTATATTGATTAATGAATAATGCTAAGTAAAAGTGATAATGGACTTAACATCTCATGTATATAAAGCAAATGTTGTAATGTTTCATCATTTGAGTGTTGAGTGCATTGAAAAATTTGTTACTATGAAGAATTATATTAATAGATACTTTTTTTAAAAGAATTTTTTATTATGCTAAGTTAGTCACCATGCAGTAGTTCATTAGTCTTTGATGTAGTGTTCCATGATTAATTGTTTGCGTATAACACCCAGTGCTCATTGCAATACATGCGCTCCTTAATACCCATCGCGAGGCTAATCCATCCCCCCGCCTCACTCCCCTCTGAAACCCTAAGTTTGTTTCCCGGAGTCCATAGTCTCTCATGGCTTGTCCCCCTCTCTGATTTCCCCCACTTCATTTTTCCCTTCCTATTCCTAATGTCCTCTATGCTTATGTCCTTATGTTCCACATATAAATGAAACCATATCATAATTGTCTTTCTCTGCTTGACTTACTTCACTCAGCAGAATCCCCTCCAGTCCCATCCATGTTGATTTAGAGGTAGGTGTTCACCCTTTCTGATGGCTGTGTGGTATTCCACTGTATATACACACCACGTCTTTATCCATTCGTCTGCTGAAGGGCATCTCAGCAGTTTGGCTGTTGTAACATCGCTGCTGTGAACATTGGGGTGTATGTGCCCCTTTTTTTCACTACATCTGTATATTTGGGGTAAATACCTAGTAGTGCAGTGGCTAGGTCATAGGGTAGCTCTATTTTTAACTTTTTGAGGAACCTCTGTACTGTTTTTCCAAAGTGGCTGCACCAGCTTGCATTCCCACCAACAGTGTAAGAGGGTTCCCCTTTCTCCGCATCCTCACCAACATCTGTTGTTTCCTGCTTTGTTAATTTTAGCCGTTCTAACTGGTGTAAGGTGGTATCTCATTGTGGTTTTGACTTGAATTTCCCTGATGGCTCATGATATAGAGCATTTTTTAATGTGTCCGTTAGCCATTTGTATGTCATCTTTGGAGAAGTGTCTGTCTGTTCATGTCTTGTGCCCATTTCTTGACTTGAAAATTTGGTTTTTGGGTGTTTGGAAAGTTCTTCATAGATCTTGGATATCAGCCCTTTATCTGTAGTATCATTTGCAAATATCTTCTCTCATTCCGTGGGTTGCCTCTTTGTTTTGTTGACTCTTTCCTTTGCTGTGCAAAAGACTGTTGTCTTGATGAAGTCTCAAAAGTTCATTTTCACTTATGTTTCCCATGCCTTCGGAGACATATCTTGTAAGAAGTTGCTGTGGCCGATGTCGAAGAGGTTACTGCCTGTGTTATTCTCTAGGATTTTGATGGATTCCTGTCTCACATTGAGGTCTCTCATTCATTTTGAATTTATGTTTGTGTATGGTGCAAGAGGATGGTCCAGTTTCATTCTTCTGTATATAGCTGTCCAATTTTCCCAGCACCATTTATTGAAGAGACTGTCTTTTTTCCATGGGATATTTTTCCTGCTTTATCAAAGATTAGTTGACCATAGAGTTGAGGGTCTATATCTAGGCTCTCTATTCTGTTCCATTGATCTATGTGTCTGTTTTTGTGCCAATACCATGCTGTCTTAGTGATCATAGCTTTGTAACGTAGCTTGAAATCAGGCAACATGATGCCCCCAGCTTGTTTATCTTTTTCAGTATTTCCTTGGTGATTTGGGGTCTTTTCTGGTTCCATACAAATTTTAGGATTGTTTGTTCTAGCTCTTTGGAAAATGCCAATGTTATTTTGATAGGGGTTGAAAGATTGCTTTGGGCAGCATAGACATTTTAACAATGTTCATTCTTCCAGTCCATGAGCATGGAATGTTTTTCCATCTTTTTGTGTCTTCTTCAATTTCTTTCATAAGTGTTCTGTAGTTCCTTGAGTATAGATCCTTTGCCTCTCTGGTTAGGTTTATTCCAAGGTATCTTAGGGGTTTTGGTGCTGTTATAAATGGAATCGATTCTCTAAATTTCTCGATCTACAGTTATATTATCTGTATAGAAAAGCAACTGATTTCTGTGCCCTGATTTTGTATCCTGCCACATTACTGTATTGCTATATGAGTTCTAGTAATTGGGGCATGGAGTCTTTTGGGTTTTCCACATAAAGTATCATGTCATCTGCTATGAGAGTTTGACTACTTCTTTGCCAATCTGAATACCTTTTATTTCTTTTGTTGTCTGATTGTTGTTGCTAGGACTTCTAGTGCTATGTTGAAGAAAAGTGGTGAGCATGGGCATCCTTGTCATGTTCCTGATCTTAAGGGAAAAGCTCTCAGCTTTTCCCCATTGAGAATGGCACTCGCTTTGGGCTTTTCATAGATGTTTTTTTATGAATTTGAGGAATGTTCCCTCTATCTCTATACTCTGAAGACTTTTAATCAGGAAAGGATGCTGTACTTTGTCAAATGCCTTTTCTGCATCAGTTGAGAGGACCATATGATTCTTGTCTCTTCTCTTACTAGTGTGTCATATTGATTGATTTGTAAATGTTGAACCACCCTTGCAGCGCAGGAATAAATCACACCTGGCTGTGATGGATAATCCTTTTAATGTACAGTTGGATCCTGTGGGCTAGGATCTTGTTGAGTATTTTGGCATCCATGTTCATCTTGGTCTGTAATTCTCCTTTTTGATGGGGGTCTTTGCCCGATTTGGGGATCAAGATAATGCTGGGCTCATGAAATTAGTTTGGAACTTTTCCTCCTGTTTCTGTTTTTTGAAACAGCTTCAGGAGAATAGATATTATTTCTTATTTAAATAGTTGGTAGAATTCCCCTGGGAATCCATCAGGCCCTGGACTCTTGTTTTTTGGGAGGTTTTTGATCACTGCTTCAAAAGATAGTTCATTCTTCTGCCTCGTTTACCCTGGCAGTCAGAGTATCCAGTTTAGATTGCATTTCATTCATATTATTTTTATGTTTGGCCTGATTAGATCTCATTTCTGCTCTTAGAGATTCTGTGTCTTTGCTAATATTTTTCTCAAACCTAAATATCAACTTCATAATTGTTGCTCTGATGTCAGTTTCTGACATCTTGGTTATATCCATATCCATTAGGTCTGTGGCAGAGGCCACAATCTCTGATCCTTTCCTTTGTTGGGGGTTCCTCCACTTAATCATTCTGTTGTGGGGGGTGGTTGAGGGAATGTACAGAGTCGGAAGTATTAAGCACGACCCGAGCAAGATGCACCTGCTTTATAGGGACCTGAGGGCTCGCAGCCTCTTCTTTCAGCCTGTCTTCTAGGGCAGGGGCCTGCCGCGCTGTTACTCAGGAAACCCTGCTTGGGCAGAGGTGCCATGCCGCCTGTTGGGGTGCGGGGTGTGGGCTCAGTGAAAACTGGTTTTGGGGGGCTTTCGTTCCATGGCGGCTTTCCACGTTTCTTCCAAGAGTCAGAGCAGTAGTGACCACATCCTCTGTCTCAGGACAGAGAAATCGCAGTCTGCTCTTCACTGAGCTCTCCAGGCCACACTGTCTCCATTTCTGTCTGCACTGCTAAAACCCACAGCCTCCCCAGTCTGTGCACCCCACAGCAAAACTCCCAGTGGTGATAGCCAGGGCCGGGCATGTCTCTGCCCTTTGTGCTTCTAAAACCACAAGCCACCCCCAGTTCCGCACGCACACCTGTAGCTCCTGGATCCCGTCTGGGGCCTGCACTAAAGTCTTTTCCTGGCCACCACAGGTCCACCAGTCTGTACCTGGTTCCCAGCATGGGGCGCTCTTGTGCTCCTGTGCTATATCACCTTCCCAGCATCAGCTTATGGCGGCTTCCTCTCCCTTCTGCTTATCTTCCAATATCTGCGCAGAATCACGGCTCCCTGCTTCATACCTTGAGACTGTTGGAGATATTCTGTTTGTGGAGATCCAGATATATATTCTTACATCTCAGGCTGATTTGTGAGTGTTCAGAATGGTTTGGTAGATATCCAGCTAAATTCAGGGGACTGGTTGAAATAGGGCCCCCTACTCCCCTGCCATCTTTTCCCGATCCCCTTATTAGATTTTCTAATATTGAAATATCCTTATGTCTCAGGATAAACCCTACATTTTGTTCTGTGGAATTTTGTTTGGTTGTATCTTAACTAGATTTTTTTTAAAGCATCTGTGCCTGTGAATTAAATTTTAGTCTTAAATACATTAATATTGTTATGATTTCTGCTTTTATGTAGCTCTTTTACTTATTTTTAAGATTTTGAGAGAGAGCGAGCATGCGCATTTGTGTGCAAGAGCGGGGGGAAGGGCAGAAGGAGACGAGAGTTTTACTCCCTGCTGAGCAGGGGGCCCCACATGGGGCTTAGTCCCAGGACCCGGAAATCATGACCTGAGCCAAAGGCAGACACTTAACCAGCAGAGAGCCACCCAGGCGCCCCTGTGTAGTAGCTCTTTTAAGTTATTTGCTGTATGTGTCTTTTTGTTAGCTAAAGCCAGGAAAATTTAACTTTTTATTTCTCTTTTATTGCCTGCCTTTAAAATTATATCCCCTTACTCTTTCATTTTTTTCAGCTGCATGTACTGACTCCCTTTAAGCAGTTACAGACTTGGTGTGTTTCTACTTCATCCCCATCTTATCATTTTATTAGTTGTCCTTTGTATCTTTAAATATACATACACATGTATTTGTTTTTAAATTTATTTTTTGGTTTATAATCTTTACATGATATTTTGGTTCTGATTATAAAAGTGTATGCACACTACCTCTCTCCTGGTAATTAATCTTTTTATAGGTGGTACTTTGCGATGATTTCTGTGTCTGGAGTCTTCTCGGTCACATTCTCTGTGATATTTGCCTATGTAGCTGATGTCACTCAAGAACATGAGCGAAGTACTGCTTATGGATGGGTAAGAGTATAGTTTATGTTTTTTAACCAGAGAAGTAATTAGCATCCTATTTAAAAATGTATTGGAAAGTAAGATTTAAAATAAGCTACAAATACTGATTTACATAAGAAAAAATCTAAAGCAATTGAAGTTTTTTTTTTTTTAATTTCTTTTCAGCGTAACAGTATTCATTGTTTTTGCACCACACCCAGTGCTCCATGCAATCTGCCCTCTCTAATACCCACCACCTGGTTCCCCCAACCTCCCACCCCCTGCAATTGAAGTTTTAAAAGGAGATTTATGAAGTTTAAAATAGCAAGATGGAAATTACTAGTAATATATCCTCTGGTTTTAGGGTGGGAAATTTGGCAGGAATGTGTGAGTTGTCAGCTGCAAAATTGTTTCAAAAGTTGATTTGATTTGTTTATTTTAGCTTATCTCTTGAGGAAACATAAATAATAAACAGGTGCTAAGCACATAAGTCCCTGTGAAGCTTGTTGGAGTTGGAGAAATGCTGCACCTCAGCCCTGTTAATCCACTGTTAACTGTATTGCTGGTTGTGTGTCTTAGATGCTTATTTGGCAGATGGTACTGTAGAGAAAGGAGATTTATTCGGCAAATGATTGTTGAGTGTGTAACACAAGTTGTAGGAGACCTTGTTTTTGGATAGTTAAGTATTAGAGAATCCTTTCTAATTTTCTGAGGTGGGATTATGGCTTTATGGTTCTGCAGGGGAAGACAGACTTGTACAAGATGGCAGGCTGAAGCCCTTGAGGTCAGAGTGTCGGGACTAGAGTGGCTGGGGGGCGGGGAGGGAGATGCCCTGTGAGCAATCTGTGGGTATGTGTCAGTACATGAACTTGCTGAGGCATGTGGGAGTTGTTGAGGGGGGACATTTTCCCTTCTTCTCTTCTAGGTTCGTTGGCTACCCTAGTCATAATTAAATTGGCATAAAACAGATTACCAGGAGGGAAACGTTTAATTTTGTACAGAGCTCCACAAAGACCTGAGAGACCCAAAGGCAGTTGGGCAGCCGGAGCTTGTGTGCCATCCTGCGCTAAGGAAAAAGGGGGGTGGGGCCTGGGACTTCAGAGGGCAGGAAAACCATTCACAGGAAGAGGAGAAGAGCAAATGTTTGGTAAATAAATGTTTGCCATGCCTGCGAATAAACCTTTCTGATATAAAAAGTTAACTCTGGCAGTTATCTAGGAAGATAGGCCCCCTATCTCAATTTTTTCAGGCTCTGAAAGAGAAGCCAAAAAGCTTTCCCTGAGGCGACGGCCATAACACCCTGAACGCGCCCGATCTTGTCTGATCTCAGGAAGCCTTCCCTGAGCCTGCTGGGTCTTCGTGCCTTCAACCAGAATAGTCTGCGCGCGGCGGGGTGTAGTTGGGGTGGCGCCTTCTCCCCTCCGCGCACCTGGCTCTTCTCTCAACTTCCTGGGTTGGGAAGTGTTTACAGTGAGAAGAGGTGGAAGAAGAAAAATCTGCCTGGGTTGTTGAGCAGGTTGTAGGAGGACTGAAGGCCAGAAACACAGGTTACTTCTCTCCTTTCCCAAGCCTTTCTCTTTCTCTTGAATCCTACTTCTGGAAGATAGTAAGGAGTCATAATTGTACAGAGACCACTGACTGCTGTTCCATAAAACACATCAGCAGCTCTCACTTTGCTGACTTCAGACATTAGTTTAAAAACAACTTCTTCAACATTACCTCCCCTCCACCTACTCCCTGCTTTCCCCTCGCCTTCATCTTCTCTCCCACCCTGAGTGTCTCTCATACCACATCCTGAGACGGTCTCCGGCCGCCATCTCCAGAATGCGGTGGAAGAGCGCAGCGGGAGAGGCGGCTAGGAGCCTTCAAAAAAGGCAAGGGGTTGCAAGGTGGCTCATAACAGCAGAGTTGAGAAAGTGCCAGAAGCCTCATTCACCATGTTTGTGCAGCTTTTCTACATGATGGGAATTACCCATTGAGATATTCATTTCCCACCAGTTTTTTTTTTTTTTAACCCAAACCCTAACTTGGTCATAGGAGTCAGGATGTTGGCCAGTGACTAACCTTTATGTGTACCCTAAGTTGTCAGATGTTAAGATGACAGAACTTAAAAAAAAAAAAAAAAGTTTGCAGGCTGCTATGTCTTACAGATACAGGAGGATTTACTGCCTGTTACCTACAAGACCGGCAAGTCTAGCTGGGGTTTTAGATCCGTTCAAGAACGTGTGAAGTATGTACACCTTCTCCCCCGATGCAACTCCCACTACACCAGGACGGCGGCGGTTCTTTCAGGGCTGCGGTGAGGAGCCGCATGAACCGCGTGAAAGCTCGCAGAGGGGCTGTGCGGTGAGGTCGCCGTGAGAGGCATTCACTATGGCGACACTGAGGGTGAAGGCGGTCAGGGATTTAGGTGCCTGTGCAGACGAAGTAACAGTGCTGCTCTGAGTTTTAAGAAAGATACAACATTTTGCATAGAAGTTCACGGTGTCATAGACCCAGAAACTCAGTCATGCAGAAGGAACGGAGCCTCGGCTGCTGGAGAGGAACAGCCTGAGGATTTGGACAGGCGGGGGGTGCTGCCGCCGCTCTCTGCCCTTCCTGACACTTGAAACCTGGCCACCAGCTTTTTTCCTTTTATTTCCATATTCCACGCGATTAAATTGGCTCCCAGAATACTTACTGTTATTACATAGAGAGTTTCACTATCAATTCTTGCTATTTCTCACCATGAAATATATCTCTACATTTTACTTTTCGCGTATTTGAAGCAGCTAATCTCTCAGGTGCTGCACTTAGGGAGGAGGTGATAGAGGCGCAGAGCGGCAGAGACGGGCGGGAGGAGGGACTCCGGAGCGCCAAGGGGCCTGTGAAATCAGGGCTGCGCCAGGAGGACTTGCATCCGTGTCTGACGCATCTGCCCTGCTGTGCCAGCTATGGTCCTTTATGGGGCTTTCGGCTCTGATTCAGATACACAGAATCTGAAGTCCTAAACTTTTTTTTTTTTTTTTAAAGATTTATTTTATTTGAGAGCGAGACAGAGAAGCAGACTCCGTGCTGGGCAAGGACCCTGAGATCATGACCTGAGCTGAAATCAGGAGTCGGACACTTAACCGACTGAGCCATCCAGGTGCCCCCTAAACTCATTTTTTTTTTTAAAGATTTTATTTATTTATTTGACAGACAGAGATCACAAGTAGGCAGAGAGAGAGAGAGAGAGAGAGGGAAGCAGGCTCCCCGCCGAGCAGAGAGCCCGATGTGGGGCTCGATCCCAGGACCCTGGGATCATGACCTGAGCCAAAGGCAGAGGCTTTAACCCGCTGAGCCACCCAGGCGCCCCATTTTTTTTTTTAAAGATTTTATTTATTTATTTGACAGAGATCA